ATGGCATGGTTGGAACACTATGAGCCATAGATTGATTGAAGGTCAAAGACCTTGGGCGTGACGCGCACGTCTTCTGCTGGAGCTTTGGCGAGTCATGAACCCACCTCTGCTAGGAGACAAAAGCGCTATCAGCATTGGACCGAGACGGTCAACGTGCTGGACATTGGAAAGTCCGAGTTGGTAGACACCAACGGTGCATTGGACAGGGGTCCCGAGCGGGGCTCACGGGCTGACCGTGGGGTGGCACATAACAACTGAGTGATGCTCAAGTTTCGGAGCAGTCGCTGCATGTCATGCGTGACATGGTCGGCCAAGGTCCGAGGCATCGTGAGCGAGACCCTCGTGATGCGCGTGGGGTGGCTCGAAAATCACTGAGCACTGCTCTCGTTGCGAAGCATTCGCTGCATGCCATTGATGGCGTGGTCGGACAGGGTCCGAGGCATCTGGGCACGGCCCTTCAGATACGCGTGGAGTGGCACGGTATCCACTGGATGAAGATTACGGGGTCAGCAGTTCTTCGTCGGATGTTGTCAATAACATCAAAGCTCCAAAGGAGCAGAAAGTGAGGGTGGCAGACGCGGAGTGCGTGTTCACCCTGGCCTCACCGAGACATAGAACCTCTGTACAGAGGCAACGGCGACGCCATATGCTGGCAGCAAGACGCCGGGTGTCGACCCTGATCCAGGGTGTGTCTACCGTAGACGACGGTACACAGTTACATACCCTCGTCAACGGTATGGCGGGGGATGAAGATGGCGACGTCCGCCTCAAGGCTATGCCTGCAGTAGATGCTCTTCTTGAGTTGGACGAGATGTCCTTTGAAAAGTTCGGCAGTGCCGTGAAGGCAGGTGATTTGGCCGAAGTGGTCACTGTACGACCGGACGAGGAGATAAACTCGTCATCGCTTTTGGATGAAGCTGTCTTGGAGGACACCAAGAGAGTGCTGAACACACGAAGTGGATCATCGATTCTACGGAATTACTCGGTTCGTACTATCCTTTGGTAAAGAAATTTGAAGACGTCGTCTCCAAAGACCCGCCTTCGGTCCTACCTCCGGACCGAGGTGTGCGTCATGAGATTGACCTGATTCCGGAACCAAATACTGCGTAACACGCCAATGACCCCTACCCAAGGAGCAGCGCGACGTCATTGACGCCTTTTTCCGTGCGATGCACGACTCAGGGATGGAACATAAGAGTAAGTCTCCCCATTCGACACCCCCGTTTTGTGTTCCGAAGCCGAACGGCAAGTGTCGTATCGCTCATGCTTACAATAAGCTCAACACTGCCACCATTCCGGCACAGACGCCGATTCCTAGAAAGGATGTTCTTCAGAACAACATGGTGGGAGGTACGAAGTACAGTGCACTCGACTTGGTCGATGGGTATTACCATTTGCTCATGCGAGCGAGTGATATTTCTCTGACTCCGAGCGGCACGCTCTAGAAGTGGCTGGTGATGCCCCAAGGGCTGTTAAATGCACCAGCAACATTCAATCGTCTTGTGACGCAGTTGTACAGGCCCCGAAGGGCGTATGAACAGACATACTTTGACGACATTTTCGTTCATAGTCGTGCGGAGCACGGGAGGACAGATAAGAAGAATCACATCGTCCATTTAAGAGCAGTGCTCGAGTGCATGCGTACGAACAAACTGTACACCAATGCAGACAAGTGCATCTTTGGCGCAGAAGAGATTCCCTTTTTAGGGTGCATCATTGGTAAGCGTGGCCTTCGAGTGGATCCCGCTAAGGTCAAGGCCACTGTAGACTGGCCGGTTCCAAAGAACCAGAAGGACTTGCG